TATTGCATAGCCCACAGTGGGCAGCAGTGGCCCTGACCTGCAAGAAATGGATAGTGATCTGACTTGCCTGCTGAAAAGGGCAAAATGTCTCGGATGAATGGATTGGCAGCTCTGTTCGGTCAAATCAAGTCCATCCGTCAGTCAGTCACCGAATACTTGGGCAGTCAGTAAGCAATTGTAACTTGGCAGAAAAAAGGGAGTCCTTTTCGATGATCAGCGCTTCCTGGCAACGAAATATGAGGCATTCAAATGTGTTAGTCGTGCTTTTCTTGATTTTCATTGTTCGCACCATTGCCACAGAAAATCATGATGCAGCACTGCCGCACTGGCGTTTTACTCTCTTAAGATTGGGTAGATACCCTTGGTGCCCTGACTATTGATTCATGAGGGTGAGGCAGTCGTCGCCGGTTAAATCTTGAGACTATTCTCCGTAGCGCTTTCAGAGTGTGCCTGGTGCTAATTATAAGCATCGAACAACCATTCTGAGTGGCCGGAATTACACTGCACTTTGAATAGTCTTCGATGATCCGAAACTTTTCTTGTACAGTACTCAGTAACAGAGTGAGCTACTTTTTCAGGCGCAACACTTTGTGGTGGACAGGAAGCCAAACCCACACCTGCGGTCTGTTGATCGGATTTTGTCGGAGCGGACCACTCGCTTGCTTTCCACCCACTCACTTTCTGCACCGCCTGCAATAACAACAGTGGCAGCATGTACTTGACATACTGTGTCCATACTGGACCTCTGCCCCTCCCTCTCACCTACTCACTCCCTAACCGATTCCCTGGCGATTTCGACGAAAAGGATCACGTAAAGCGGTCGAGATGGCCCGGAGCGGGCTGCTCCCCCTATCGGCACCGGTCACGGAGCGAATCACACCATTGTTACAGTTATTTAAAATCGAAGCTTCCAATCAGCAAGATCGACTGCGCACTAGGCCGGCTCGTGGTGCCTAGCGGGCTCCAGTCCAATTTGCCTGGAAGGTGAATGGAATCGCTCTCGGTGGACTTGGGAACGGACTAAGAATGTTCTATAGAAACGCTTGGGAGTTTAGCTCGCGCCGGGATCGCCCCCAGAACTCCCCGGTAGACTATGCGACGGGGACTGGCCCAGTCGGCCTCATAAATTACCCTTAGGGCGCCCCCATCAGGTACAAGTACCGAAACCGAATACGTATGTGCTGGAATTTCATCATCTCGATCCCTCCGATGGCTTACGGTTACCGGCCTGCTGTTAGCCTGCGTGGGAGGCGCCAGATGCAGCGGGCCTCTCTCCATAGCAATATCGGGCGGACAACATCCCATCTCGGGCGCTTGCTCGAGAAGAGCGCATGGTAATCTGACGTCTCCAGTCAACAGGTTCTGGTGACACTCTAGCGGGTTCTAGCTCGGGGTGTTAATCCCAAACCGCCAATATTGGGTCCAGTTACCCCCCATAGGAGTAGTGGCCATAGTACTCTGTAGTAAGCCAAACACCGAGGCCTTGCGGATCCGCGAGAATGACCTCGCCACTTTTGTACTACTATTGCGGAAATTGCATTCTCGATTATTCGTGGAAGGTGATGGGTCACTAGGCTTGGTCTCGATGCCCTGAGGGAGGCGAGTCGAAGAAAAGTCAGGGGACAAAAATTACCTACCTAAATCCTGTATGGTAAGTATCAATTTCCCCGAAATGGATAGAGAGAAACTTTTAGGTATTTCTAGGTCCCCGTCGTATAACGGGAGCCATGGAAGGCGTTCAAGACTTGCGTGTCAAGTAAATAGAGGGGAAATGATGGGAATGTCATGTCCAGACGATAATTATAGCACGGGGTAATCTTAACAGCATTTCCGTACCTGTCTCGAAATGACGGCTGCAGGGAAGGGAAGAAAACTGGACGGGAGCACCGCTAACCGCTCATCAGGGGTCTGCTAGATTCCGAGTGACAGGTATGATCCCCCGGCCAGCGTAGGGGGTCAGCCGGCTATCATCCTCCTCCCATGGAATGCCTGATGGGTATCAGGTTGGTGTTCTCCAGATGGTGGTAGAGAGCGGTTGCTTGGAGAGAAATTTTTCATATAGAAATCGAGGTAGCATAACAGTTGCACATCAGCCAACGGACAAACGGGAAAGCTGCAAGAGCTCGTGAATACGGGAGCTTCCCCTATTCGGAGAGGTGATGAAGCTATAGGGCATCCGTTACCCACTTCAGGCGGATCCCGAACCCACCATAGTCTGGCCCTAGGGAGTAGGGACGCGTTGAAGGCTTGCAGCTTTCCCGGATAGGAACCATCAGTCAGGAACCTTTCGGGACCACACAGCACAGTCGTTTTCGTGGACTAGATGGGGTTTCGATTCAGTAGGAAGCCAAGAGGCAGAGGATGGCCTGCGATTGTCCGGAAAACATCCGACAACGAAAAGAGGATGCGATCTTCGAACTGGTGCGTCATGCGTGATGACAGACCTCCGCTCACTCTAACTTTCCTAAGTAGTAGACCTGCTCCTGAGGAAGTCCAGTAGGTAAGGTAGCCCGTGCTGCCGGAAGTGGCAAGAGGGGGGAGGAGAGGATTCGAGGCGGGGTGAGGTGTCCTGAGTGCTCCGGTATCGATTCTCAGGGACGGAGAGACACGTTGACGGAGAGTCTGAAACATTGCGACAGGGGGAACGGACCATACCGTCCGTGATATGGCTTGGCTACGGAGAAGGGGTTGACGATGACGCGGAGGAGGTAATCACCAGAGGAGATGATTTATTAATGGGATCAACAAACCTGGGGATGACAGGGGAAAAGGCGAAAGATTTGGAACAAAGAGAACGCCCCAAAGGAAGGAAAAAACAAAGAAGTGCACATGATGATGATGATGATGAAATACTGATAGTTGCTCTAGATCAGGATCAGGGGGTGTGTGATGTTATTTTCAGATCAAGGCAAGCAAGCAGAGAGGAAGGTGATGGAGGAAAAGTATCCTTTGAGTCAGATTTTCTATTAGCTGGGCCTCCGTACTTCCATTCTCTCTGGCAACCAGCGACACCAGAGGGTCCAGGGGGGGAAATCGCAAAGGGAGAGGGGGGGGGAGGGGGGAAACGGAGAACGAGGAAAATACGGCTGTAATACTGCTAGTTAGAACGAAGGGAAATGATAGATGGTAAATTAGTGCTCGAGGAAGGTATCGGATGGGCGGTGCAGCCGGAGGGAGGCAGAGGAGAGGAAAAGGTACCCCATTCTTTCTACTAATACTGAATAGGTACCTGGCAGCCACTCTGCTGTCGGTAGAGGTACTTAAGTACATGGCAAGTACCAGCTGCCTATCCAAAAGTCATATCATCCGCCCCCCTCCGTATATGCACAGCAGCCAAAAGAACTACGGAGTAGAACCATCAAGCAATCTGAATCAACACTTTTCAGCTTCTTGCGAACTTTACTAACCACCATTGATATCTCTCATTCATCTGGTGATCCACCTTCCTGCTTTTTTGGTTGGACAAATAGTTAGCATTGCTTTTTGTTCTTCTCCCCATTTTTCACTTTTACTTCTTTTGTTATCTTTTTTTTTTTTATTTTCCATTATTTATTCTTGTTCTTGCATCTGTATCCGCATCCTCCCTTCTATTGTTCGCCCTGTTCCTGTTGGACTCATTCGACCTGCCTGTGTGTTTGGACCAATCAGGATCGCACTCCCCTTTTGGGCAAAGCCTCAGATTCTCCATTCTGAATTTGTTCCCACTTCTTCCACTCCCAACGCTACCGGGACTCGCCTTTTTTTTCCTTTCCTCTTCCTTTCTTTTTGCCTCCCGCCACTTAACGAGCTGTGCAGACAACGCGCGCGACGGGCATAGATAGCTCAAAGAGGAGTCAAGGCGGGCAAACGAAGCGCAGACATCTCCGATCAGCGACGGCCGTCTTTTAGTGACTTCATCACCCGGTGATATCAGGATCAAGGTTCTACCACCATCGAAAAAAAAACAAAAAGCACCGATCCGAACCCAAACACAAAAAGCAACGAAAAGCAAGAACTAGGAAGAAGGGAAGAATTGCTAGCAGCACAACAAATTGAAGGAAAATAAGAAAAGCTGCAGCAGCACCAGAAACGAAGAAGGATAAAAGGGAAAAGGAAAAGAAAAAAAAAAAATAAGTAAGAGCCACTAGCGAAGGACATCCCACTGGATACCTTCGATCTTCCCCGTCCGCCGTCCCGTCCCCCATCTGACTCTGGATTACGGGAATCCCTTCATCCCATTCGCTCTCACCTTGGTTGTCTCTGTCTGTCTCTCTCTGGTTGTGTTTGGTTTCTGTGGTTTCGTTTCTCGTTCCCCCCTCCCTTCCAAAAGTTCTACCAGTCTTCAATTCTCTCTATTTGTGTTGATCATCCTCTTTCCCCCCCCCCATCTCCCCATATCCCCCTACTACTTACCCATTTAACATCCGTTTCGGGTAGGGTGGCCCTTATTTAACATTCCCTGGCTATTGTCTTTCTACCATCTCCAACATCCTTCTGACAGTTTCATCTATTGTTGGAATTAGGGAGTCAGACCCGGTGTTCCTGACTTTGGGGGCAAGCCGCGCTTCTCTCGTTGCTTTCTCTCCATCACATTTCCCGCACGATCTATCCAGTGCAGTGCAGCAGAGTGCGTTCAGCCATCCCCATCAATCTTTTTTTTTCTATTTTATTTCAATTTTTCTTCTTGTTTTCCCTCTTTCTCCCTTCCTTGGGGTGTGGATTCGCGGAAGAGCAGAAAAAAAAAAAGACCAGACCAGACCGGACCCGACTAAGCGGTCGCGGTGTTGCCGGCTTTTCTTTCTGCGTGCCGTTTTGGCGGGCGTGCCTTTCCCTTTCCCTTTCCTTCCCTTTTCCCCCCCAGCAGCAACCAGCAGCAATAAGCAGCAACTGCAGCCAAAGAGTGAGATTCCTTTGGTGTTCCTCCTCCTGGACCACCTCCTGCTACTTGCTCGTTCCTCGTTTTCCTTCCCTTCCCCCTCACTCCTCCCAATTCTCCCTCCCTCTCTCCCTCTCCCTCTCTCTCTCTCTCTCTCTCTCTGTTTGGCCGTCAAAAAGCCTTGGGCACTGCTTATCCTTCCCAGGTAGTGGCAGCTCGTTTTCCTTTATTACCCTTATATTCCTCTTCCCGTGTTAAAGCTCCGTTTATTTTCCATTTCTTCCTTCTCTTGCTACCTCGATTTTTTCCGCACCCCGATTTTCTTTTTTCCGAGTTCTCCCTCCCCTGTCCTCTTCTGATGCCCCTAGGGTCTTGAGAAGCGAAAGACAAAACATAAAAAGAAAAAGCAAAAAAAACAAAGAAAAAATAGTTCCTAACATTTTCATGCTAAAGGATACGACGGCCATTGATGACCCAATAGTCACGAGAGATTTATTTCAGCAGCTGTGAGCGATTTTGCTTGTTTTTCTTCGGTTCTCGTCGCTTCCACCGCGCTTTTCCTCTCCGCAGTCAATCAACGATCGGTCACTCCTCCCTCCCCCTCGGAAGTTGACCCTGTTTTGCTACGATTTCCTCGACCTTGCAAACACCCTCGACCAAGTGTGGTTTGACACCCTCCTCTCCGCTAGTGTCCAGCGCCTGTCCGGTCGCTCCTATGTTGGAGTAGTTTCGCCAGACACAACAGTTGCGATCTATTGAAAGGTTTTGTTGTGTGGTGGATCTCAGTGCCCACATTCCTCGGTTTGGTTGCTTCTAGGGATTCTGCAATCTTTTCGCCGCCATGAGCTATCAACAAGCCCAGGACATGTACCACGATAACTCCGCGGCGCGTTCTCCTGGCTCCCAACGCCACCAGCAGCCGCTGCACCGTCAACCCTCTCGTCAGTTTGACGCGTATGGCCCTATGCCCGTGAACCTGTATGACGACATGGCTCGTTACGACACCGGTCGGCTGGAGCGCCTGAACTCGTCGCTGCACAACAACTCCTACGCCTACGATCTGGCGGGCTCCCAGACCTGGAACCCCAACGGCTTTGCCAATGCGCAAGCTCTTGGAGGCATTCGGTCGGCTTCGACCAGCCTCAAGACAACTTCGCGCACTGGCAGGGCAGGCTTGCCAACGGTATGTATTCAATTGCGTGGATGGAAAGAATTTGATGGAATTGGCGTTGCTGACTGACGAGTAGACATGGCTTGATCAGCAGCCTGGCATCCCCAGCGCCTTCTCCAACCTCGGTCCCGGTCCCCTCCAAAGCAGCGCGATGCGCCCGGAAGCCTCTGGTGGTCCGTCGGAAGCGGAGGACGAGTTGATTCCCACCGCCATTGTCATCAAGAACATTCCTTTTGCGGTGAAGAAGGAGCAGCTGGTGCAGCTCATGACTGAGCTCAACTTGCCGCTGCCTTACGCCTTCAACTACCACTTCGACAACGGCGTCTTCCGGGGATTGGCTTTCGCCAACTTCACTTCTGCTGAAGAGACCGCAACCGTCATCGAGGTCCTTAACCATTTCGAGCTCCAGGGTCGGAAATTGCGGGTTGAATACAAGAAGATGCTGCCGCTGCAGGAGCGGGAGCGGATTGAGCGTGAGAAGCGCGAGCGTCGTGGTCAGCTGGAAGAGCAGCATCGCCCCATGGCGACCTCGCAGCTCCAGACTCAGAGTTCCATGTCGTCTCTCACCTCGCACCTTCCCGCTACCTCCCCGTCCCCCGTCTCCCAGCGTGGCCAAAAGTTGGGTAGGTGGCTTGACACCCTTGTGCTGTTTTCTGCAAGTTGCTAACCCATCCCGCGTATCTACAGAGGTCGACCTCAACGATAGCACAACGCTTTCGTACTACTCGCAGCTACTTCTCTTCAAGGAAGATACGGCGCGTGATACCCTCGTGTTCCCGTCCAACCTTTCTCCTGTCCAGCGCCGCACCGTTCATACACTTGCTCACAACATGGGCCTAGGCCATGCGTCTCGGGGATCAGGTGATCAGCGGCAGGTGCATGTTTTCAAGGTCGCTCCTGGCACCAACGTTAGCCCTCCCTTGTCGTCCATCCCAGCCGCTGTCCAGCCAGCGGAGACAGCTCGTCGTGGACTGAACCGCGCCGCAACCATTGATTTCAGTGAGTCTCGCAACGACGGACCCACTCATTTTAACACTTTGCGCGGTCAGCCTTCTGCTGGCTTCCTGGGAGTCTTAGACTCCCCTGGCAACTTTGGCAACACGCAGAATCTTCGAGCCGCCAAGTCGTTTGCAGACCTACGCTCCTACACGCCATCCCCCGTCCCCTCGTCTGCCAGCTTCCCTGCAGCGCTGCAGTCTAACGGTGCGCGCCTGCAACATTACGATGGTGCCACGAGCGGCACTTCCAACACCCCTACGCTTACGTCCGCGCCTTCCGGTTCCTCCCTCGGTATGCAGCGCGACGACAGTCTGTTGGTTAACAGCCTCAGTAGCCTCTCTCTGGGCACTGGAATTGGTGGGCCGAATGCGAGCCCGAGGAGATTGCGGGGTATGTTCTCTTGGGAGCAGCCAGAAAGTCAGCCCTCTAGCGCTGGTCCCATCGGTAGTAACCGATCCATCGGAGTTGGATTTGACGGTCAGTCACAGGAGCGCATGCCCATTAGGCAGCCGAGAGGCCCGATGCCCGAGAAAGGTCCAGGATTTCGACGCCAGAACGGACACCAATCGCGCGGAAGCGACGAGTTACGCACCACTTCTGGTGTAGAGATTATTGTGGAGTAAACACTTTGATGGGAAGACGAAGACGACGAAACTTGTTAGATTGCTTTGCCGCAAGATGCATACGACTCTTATATCACGAGGCCTGATCCTGTTCTGCGATTATTGGCTTACGATTCGATGAGGGATGACGAGATGACACTCAACCGAGAGAACCAAAAGAATATTTCTCTGATCTAGCCAAGTTTAGACGTTATTTTGGGGCAGCCCAGCAGGCACGCTGTTTGAACGCAACCTTTTTATGCTTTTCTCCTTGTTTCGCGGAAAATAAAGACCTCCCCAAAAAGAAAGCTGTGGACTATTTGAGACGCGGGCGCCTTGCATGCAGGAACATTTTTTTTTATCTATACTTTTTTTTTTTTTTCCATTTTACTCTTACTTTTTACCTTCTACAAATTGTGTCGGCGGAAAGCAATATAAAACCAATCATCAACACCTGGATGGCTACGAAGGACGACAACAAAACGGGATTCGGATGTCTTTGTGTGCCCATGGCAAGAGAAATGACTCACCAGCATTTGCATTTAACCTTTCACTTATCTCCTTCTATCTACTTGTTTGTCACTTTGTATATGGGGCATTTTGCATCATTTAATGTTTTTATTTCTCTGTCAGACGTGTCCAATGTGCTTTTGTTCTCTCATCTCCTCTAATCGTGTTTTTTCTGGAGCCCCTGTGATAGTGGGAGTGGAGGAATTGACGGAACGTTGTCGGCATACCACATCGTATGCAATGTGGCTGTTGCCGAGGACGGGTCATTCATTCTCTTTACAAATTTTTCAATTCCCTGACCTGCAGGTGTAATTCAAAAAAAAAAAAACTTGATGGCTTGCATGGCGTGCGTTAGGGGAGATACAGTGGCGAATCGAATGGGCGGAGATTTGCATTCTTTGCAGCTTCTTGGAGGGGGAGAGTTTTGCCTGTGGGTATTTTTCTAGGGATGAGAATGCCCGGGCAACTATCTAGGTGGACAAATGACAACTCTTGCAATATTGTCCGACTTGATGACGTCTCGTGATTTATCCCTTTTCCCGACGGCGGTCTGGCCGGATTATATTTCCCTCGCCATTAGGTGGGCTCATCACCCTCTTCCCTTATCTACCTTTCCATTCAGATCGCCATACCTCCCTTCAACTTACTAGCTGTTGTTTACTGTATTTATATACTGTTGACTCTCTCCATCCCCTTTTCTCTCCTTCAGACCCTCACAGAGCTTGATTGATCAGTTCAGTTGTTGTTTTCATCATGGTCGCTTCGGGACTTACTAGACTGTAGTATAGCATATAGTACTAGGTATAGAGACGTCATTCATTCACTTTCAATGCTCAATCGCATCGGTTCGGTTCAAGTAGTGTAGTACTACTAGTAACAAGTAACGTTTCAATATATGTATGTAGATCACTCTGAAACTACTTATCAACTCAACTAGTAGTACTAACGCGAATATGATATCAGGCGTAAAATATACATACATACATACTATGTGTGGTACTAGTGGTCATTTCATACAAACTGGTTCAAGTATTCATTCAGTTACTAAGGTAGTTAAGATCTACTCACACCATACATATTTAGTACGACTCCTATCATATCACACCCACTCATTTCGTTTGGGTATCAGCAGGGTAGGAATGAATGGGTCAGTCGCATAGAAGGAAAGAAGAGAAGATAATAGAAGGCGGTGAATAAGGTTGACTCGTACAGACCCGTTGATATTAGAGAAAACAGAGAGTACAGAAACATAAAGGGGTAAGAATGATAAGAAAAGAAAGGTCATGGAAATAAATAAATAAATAATAACTTTCCCACTACCGAAACATATCCCCTTTTTCCCATTACAGCGCCCTTGGAAAATTTGACATGAAACACGGAATACACACAAAAGACATCAAGCTGTCAGGGGAGATAAAATAATAATAGTAAAATAAAAGATGGGGGGAAGCAAGGAAGAACTTGGAAATAATCATCTCGAGCTTCGTAGCGTCACGAGAATAAAAGGTGGGCTTTTGTGTTCGTCAGAAGGACGTGACCTGATTTCCTTGCCTCCCTGTTCGGGTGTGATATTGCAGAGGGGGTGGCAGTAGCATCATGATCACAATAAAGAACCCGTTCCTAGCTTTTTTTTCCCTTTAACGATCATTCAATCACCAAACGCCGGAGTTCGTCGGGTATCCACCATCATTTAAGCCTCGGTCTTGCTCTTCTTCTTTTGCTCCACCTTCAGCAGGAGCGCGCGGTTGATGCGCGGCAGAACACCTCCGAAGGCAATAGTGGCGCGGATCAGGGTATCCAACTCCTCATCACCACGGATGGCAAGCTGCAGATGACGCGGGGTGATACGCTTGACTTTGAGATCCTTGGCAGCGTTTCCGGCCAATTCGAGGACTTCCGCAGTCAGATATTCGAGAACAGCGGTGACATACACGGCGGCTGCGATCGGGATTTGTCAGCATGGCTGAAAGAGAAGACAAAGGAAGGTGCGCCTTCTGTAGGCTTAAACAAAAAGGTCGTACCTTTGGCGCCAACGCGCATCTTGTTCTGGGTGTTGTTCTTCAAAAAGCGCTTAACACGACCGCAAGGGAACTGTGGTGGAAGGATACTGTCAGCGAATGGGACTGATGATAGTAGATAGGCTTGAATGTGTGAAGTGAAGCTTTAATGTGAGCGTATATACGGGAGGGATCGTGACCGCCACCCCTCTCAACCTAGTCGCCCAAACCGCGACAAGCCGGTGCGATATAGCTCTTGAAGGATTTGTGTTTGATAAAATAAAGCTATACGCGTGCTTTTGCGAACAAAAAGGCGATCGCGAGGGGCAAAGGAGGCAAAAAGCAAAATCCCACGCCGTAACGGTTTCAGTGGTATGTCGCCGCCAGACGCCATGGGATGGATCAAATGTCATATGCCTGCAGGGAGAAAAAAAAAGGACGAATACGGACCTGCAGACCAGCCTTTGCGCTGTGGGACTTCTGGCTCTTCCCCGCAGAATCCTTGGAGCCGGCCTTTCCACCGATAGACTTTCCCTTTCCACCAGGCATTTTGCAAAAGCGTCGATATTTGGGGCCGCAGGGGCGAAAATGTCGCGTCAGTCGAGTATTGGAAGTGGTAGAACGTGATGGTGGATGTTGGTGCGATCCGATGCAGCACAAGCACGCGCGTTGTTGATGGATGAAGGAGTCAGAAATGTCAGAGCCATCCTGGTCGCTAAAGACGGGCGTCGACCGTCGAGTGGCGCTAGTCCGTTTTGGGAAAACTGCTCAGCTTCCATCCACGGAGATGTCATAACGGGCGAGGTGGTTGTTGGTTGCCGTTGCAAAGGCAGCGATGTACAAGCTTCAAGTCCTTGTATCTTGTCATAATCCGGAGAAAGAATTTCAGCCAGAGCACTGATGGCCTTGCTTTATCGGGCGCATGGAGCTGGAGCTGAGCGTCCACGCCATCGCTGGGTAGAGTCACTCAGTAGTCGAATCCCCAAATGCCAGACATACCACACTTGTGAGCAAATATAATTGTATCAATATACTTGTACCAGTAGGTCTAATCGACGGAGAGAGGACATAGAGACCTTTAAACCGTAACGTGGCGGGTTTGCACACGTTCGTAGCGATATAACAGAGGTTGGCAGGAGAGTGTGCAGACCATGATAGTTGCTCAGCGGATTATCTAAGCGACCAGGTGATCTGTGCCTTTTGCCTTGTCCGGGGGCCGTATGCCTGAGGCTGCAGTTGACCTTGAACCGCCGAATCAGGTAATAAAACTGCGTATCACTTGCTTATCGCCGCTATCTTCCCTTACGCCTTACACTGATACGGCTAAGCCAAGAGAAGTCAAGAGCAATCACGTGATCCTCACTATCTGGACAGCTGTCCGACTTCCCCGGGGCTCCAGTTCCGCAGTTCGAAGTTTCTGTCCTTGCGCACGCGTTCCCCATCCTCCCCAGTTTCACATCATCGTGTGCTGCTCCTCACTTCTCAAGGCTCCCTGGTCTCAGTACTACCGGCAAGATGGTGTCTCCTCAAGTGTAAGCGATTCCTGCGTTAATTTGCATACGACTCGAACGACCATGGTCTGCTATGTCGTGGTGCTACCGGGGGAATAATAACTGACATATCGCCTGTCTTGCAGTACCAACCTGGCCATCATCGTGGTGATGATGCAGCTGGCGAAGAAGGTTCCCTTCGAGGACCCCGATGTCCTGATGCTGGTCCGTGGCATGTACATCTTGTCCAACGTGATCATTCTGGGGGTGTATCTGTACACTCAATCGAAGATCAACAAAAAGAATGGTATGCTTTCTATTCTGCTTTCATTAAGCTACGATTCTCTAATACTTTGCGATCAGATCTGACTACCCTGAAATACGTGGAGCCTGCCCCTATGGGTAGCGGCGAGGAGCCCAAGCCGGTCACCACTACCAACATGGAGTACGACAAGGGACAGCTGCGCCAGCTGATGAGGAGCCAGCTGATGGGTGTGGGTATGATGGGTGTGATGCACCTTTACTTCAAGTACACCAACCCTCTCTTGATCCAGTCCATCATCCCCCTCAAGGGTGCCTTCGAGTCGAACCTGGTCAAGATCCACGTCTTCGGCAAGCCTGCGACCGGTGACCTCCAGCGCCCCTTCAAGGCCAGCAACAGCTTCCTGAACCAGGGCCAGATCAAGAGCGACAAGGCTTCCGTTGAGAACGCGGAGAAGAACTGGAGGGGTGGTGTCAAGGAGGAGTAAGGTGACAGAGTCTGGGGAAGGAGCGCGAGAGATATTGCTAGGCCTTGCCTCCTTTGTATTTATAGATGTGGTTTCAATGGAGTGAGCGCGAATTCACCTTGGATTTGCGCATTTCTGGCTTCACACTGGCTTTCTTGGCAGCTGTGATGGGAGACTTTTATGACTATGCATGTTGTCGATATCATTCGCAATGACCGCTTACTATCAATATAATAGAACCACGTCAGTGGTGACCTCATGTCCTATATTCACCCATGCCGCAGCATGAGTCAGGTGGCGAATAGATAATTAGAAATTCCTATCGATATGGCTTCCCAACCAGGTAGGAGCGGAAACGATGATGAGTGGCGAAGTACCTGCCGATTGCTTTGTTGTCTCATGGCTTGCGTCTCCTGACATACCAACATCGGTGGCCGGTGAAGACAATGAAGGCATATCTAAGCAATACGGGCTGTGGCCACACGGTGTCACTTGCTCGAAGTAACTTGGTGCATTTACCCCATGTAAGGCTGGAGGCTGGATGGGGCCACTTTTTAGCAATACGTAGAAAGTACTAGAACCATGTCCCGGTCTCCGCGACCCTGGACATTGACACGCCAGCATGATCATGAAACCCGAGTCAAACCAGAGCCGTTTGGAGTTGTGCTACACTCCCAAGTCATGTTGTCGCCAATTGAATAAATCCGAGCACACCATTGTGGCGTGGAATTATACTTAGTAGTATGTAGGGACAAACCTTGGTGCGCGGCCTTTAGGCGGCCATAGATAGTTATGCTACGGTACCACTGATGTTATTGTACCGGGAAGAAAGAAAAGTCTCAGCCAGTTGATTCCCAAATCAAAGCCACATGCATCCGTTATCATGCATCTGACATATCGGATTCGTCCATTTGGTTGGAGTATTTAAAAAGAGGCCAGAGCATCACCGACATGGGTACCCTCAGCAATAATATGCATGCATTGTGCCTCCTATGGATCCGTAGCTTTCAAGCAATTAGACGCGTGCCCGGCCGAATGAGATGAACCGTTGGAGCCATCATCCCACTCATCCCGCTCCAGAAAGGAGAGAAAAAAAAATATGACCAAGCGCGTGATGACCGGTGAGGACTCCGGTGAATTAATTTGGGTGACGGGAGAGACCCAAGAGGGGCCAGAATAATAAGAATGGGGAAGGCGAAGGTACCGCCTTTGGGGTCCAGCCACGCGACTCCAACATGGAGGGGTACTGGACTAACGTTATTCCATCACCGGGATCACGGGCCGAAAGCGGCAAGGCCGGCACTGCCCCTCTTTTTGGGTTGAAAGAGTAGTTAGTTAGCAGTATTTTCTGGAGTGAATAATAATAACAACTGACTACCTAGTTACCTAGTAAATACTACTATGGTATTTGACTCCTACGGATGGGCCGATTCTATTACATCATCTCATCTCGTCCGGTTTCTTCGCCTCCGCGGCAGTCTACGGGTAGGATCGTAACAAAAACCCGGGGGATAGACCCGTTGTCCCGAGCTGGAGTTCCGTATAACCTAGGTAGAAGGTATCAATTGAACCCGACGAACTGGCAAAATATTCTCGAGAATCGAGATAGTGAAGGGTGAGTACCCGGCGTGATGGAGGGGGGACACGCTCATTGGTCGGTACGGCAGCTGCCGAGGGGGAGCAGGAGATCCAAATATCGTGAGTCTCCTGCTTTGCCCGGTGTATGAAACCGGAAAGGGCTGCTGGGGAACTGGGGAGCGGCGCAAGCCGGGAATCCCAGCTGACAATTGACCCATCTTCATGCCGTGGCAGAGCTCAGGTAGCTTTTGCCCCGTCTGTCTCCCCGGTGTGCGCATTCGACTGGGCGCGGCATCTGTACCTCCTCCAGGAGCGGAGGACCCAGTAGAAGGCCTGACCTGGTCGTTGCGTCAGTCCTGAGGTTCCCTCCCCCTCTACCCTTTTTCTACTTCCCCTCCCCCGCCGCTGAACTTTTCCTTCCTTCCTTTTACTTTCTCTCTTCTTCTTCTTCATCCATCCTCTCCTCATCACATCTGTCCTCTTTCCATCCAATTCACCCTCAAGTGAGTCTTCCCCCCATTTGGCTTTGCATCTTGCACATCATCTCCTTCTCTGCCAGCTTCCCCCCTCCCCCCCCCTCTCATTACATCACGAAGCTTTGACTGACCTATTACCTTGCCGATCAGACACATCTACACAATGGCTCCCAAGGTACGCCAATGACTTATCAGGCGTGGTTCAGCTATCTACCAGCCTGATGATCTTGTATACTCACATCAATGCCATTTAGGTCGGTATCAACGGCTTCGGTCGTATCGGACGTATCGTAAGTTGCTCTTCCCTCATTACTGCTTCCGGGTGGTAGAGACTAACATGAGTGTACAGGTCTTCCGTAACGCGTGAGTGCCGTCTTTCACCGTCACTCGATGGCCCTAGTTGGGACCCATGGAGTCTAATCGACATTGCGAGAACGTTATACTGACATGTTTGGCTGCACAGCATCAACCACGGCGAGGTTGACGTCGTTGCTGTCAACGACCCCTTCATCGAGACCCACTATGCTGTACGTTCTGCCTCCTACATTGTCTGCTACACATCAACAAGAAAGCAAGTGGCTAACGGAGTGAATCTGCGATAGGCCTACATGCTCAAGTACGACAGCACCCACGGCCAGTTCAAGGGCACCATCGAGACCTACGAGGAGGGTCTGATCGTCAACGGCAAGAAGATCCGCTTCTTCGCTGAGCGTGACCCCGCTGCCATCCCCTGGGGCACCACTGGCGCTGACTACATCGTCGAGTCCACTGGTGTTTTCACCACCCAGGAGAAGGCCTCCGCTCACTTGAAGGGTGGTGCCAAGAAGGTCATCATCTCTGCTCCTTCCGCTGATGCCCCCATGTTCGTCATGGGTGTCAACAACACCTCCTACACCAAGGATGTCAACGTCCTCTCCAACGCCTCTTGCACCACCAACTGCCTTGCTCCCCTCGCCAAGGTCATCAACGACAAGTTCGGCATCGTTGAGGGTCTCATGACCACTGTCCACTCCTACACCGCTACCCAGAAGGTCGTCGATGCCCCCTCCAACAAGGACTGGCGTGGTGGCCGTACTGCGGCCCAGAACATTATCCCCTCCTCCACCGGTGCTGCCAAGGCTGTCGGCAAGGTCATCCCCACCCTTAACGGCAAGCTCACTGGTATGGCCATGCGTGTGCCCACCTCCAACGTCTCCGTTGTCGACTTGACCTGCCGCCTCGAGAAGGCCACCAGCTACGACGAGATCAAGAAGGCCATCAAGGATGCTTCCGAGAACGAGCTCAAGGGTAAGTTCCTACGTATAAATGATACCGTGGGGTTCGACAACTAATCCTTTTATAGGCATCCTCGGCTACACTGAGGACGACATCGTCTCCTCCGACCTTAACGGTGACGACCACTCCTCCATCTTCGACGCCAAGGCCGGTATCGCCCTCAACTCCAACTTCGTCAAGCTCGTCTCCTGGTACGACAACGAGTGGGGTTACTCCCGCCGTGTTGTCGACCTCATTGGTAAGGACACTCTTGTCTCCCCTCAAAAATCGGTGACATCTTACTAACCTCTCTTCTAGCCTACATCTCCAAGGTTGATGCCCAGTAGGAATCAGGACG